CTACTGGGGATGTGCCCCCAACCCAGGTACATGCCCTTGACCAGAATCGAACCTGGGACCTTTCAGTCCGCAGGCCGACGCTCTATCCACTGAGCCAAACTGGTTTCGGCTAAGAGACTTTTTACTAAAGTAGCCCTTCATAGGTAATCTCCATTTTACTGAGCTTAGGGACATAAATATTGCAAGAATCTAGAACAGCATTGTCTGATAGAAATATCATACAAACCTCATGTGACTTTAAATTTTCTGGTAGCCACGTTTAAAAATAAAAAAGGAACAGGTGAAATTAATTTTAATATCTTTAACCGGATCTACTGAAAATATTATAACTTCATCATTTACTCAGTATTAAAACTATTGAGATATTTTAAATTCTGTTCTGACATACTAAGTCTAAGAGCACATCTCAGTCCGAACTAGAGACATTTCAAGTGTTCAGTAGTCATATGTGGTTAGTGGCTACAGTCTTAGACATTGCAGCTGTGGAGTCTTCTTTTTTAGTTGTGTACTCATCCAAACAAATTTTGAATGTGTTTAAGTTCTTCCAGGATTCTCCAAAAATTGGTTTTATTTGGGATTAGTGAAAAACAGCTAATGAATGTGATCTAAAATTTAGATTTTGGGTTGTCATGAGTTTCTTAATTCAGCAAAGAAGACCAATTATTGTTTATAACAGTTTAGAGCTTTTGATTAAAACTAGATTCTATTAAACCATTAGAATTTAGTATTATTTTTAGTGAAGCAGATGTCATCAGTGAAAAGTGATGCTTTTAAGGTTCTACTTGCATACTTCATGTCTAGTAGTAATTGAAGTAGTAAATATATACAATGTTGAGGGAAGAAAGAACACAAAATTGAATGGTCATAATGATTTTAAGTATATATGGTAAAAACTATCTAAAAACTGTCTAAAGATTGAAAGAGACTATAGAAGGATGTAAATGAGTAAGATATTTAGATACAAAATTTAGAATATTTTTATGAAATTACTATTTTTTTACATAAAATAATAAATTAATTGAGCAAATATTTAGTGAACCTCCACTATGTACTAAATACTGGGCATAGAGCATACATGGTATATGAAACATGTAGACTTCCCTCATGGAAACATCAATCAAATAAAAAAGTGGAAGCTTATACGTACTGTTGATAATTGCTATGAATAAGAGCTATATGAGCATATGTGAACTTACAATAGATTGATGTGTTCATAGAAGGTGACTTTGGTCTGATATTTGAATAGACATTAACTATTTGAAGGAGGGGGGAGCATGTTGTGGATCTGCTCTCCAATACAGTAACCACCAGCTACATATGGTTATTAAAAACTAGTTTAAACTGAGATGTGCTATTAGTATTAAAACATTGGGTTTTGAAGACTATAAATTACCTTAAATTTTAAGTATTGATTACATCATTTATTATAATATTTGGGTTATATTGACTAAAATAAAATATACTAAGATTAGTTTCACTTGAATTTACTTTAATATGGCTATTAGAAAATTAAAAATGACTTACATGGCTTGCCTTATAGTTCTGCTGGATAGCACTGAGTGGGAGGTATCACAATCAGACCAAATAAATAAGCGAGAGCAAAGGATAGCATAATATAAGATGACTAGAGGCCCGGTGCACAAAAATTTGTGCACTCGGGGGGGAAGGGGGGGGTCCCTCAGCCCGGCCTGTGCCCTCTCGCAGTCTGGGACCCCTCGGGAGATAACGACCTGCTGGCTTAGGCCTGCTCCTGGGTGGCAGAGGGCAGGCCCAATCCCTAAGTGCAGCCCCTGGTCAGGCTCAGAGCAGGGCCGATTGGGGAGTTGGGGCACCGCCCCCTGTCATGCACAGAGCAGGGCCGATCAGGTGGTTGAGGAGC